CGTTTCGCAACTCGTTTGTATGCGTGATTGATCCTGACATAGTCACATTGAAGGGATAGTGTGCGGTGCTTGGTGAACTTCCTTCCAATCTAAATTGGAGAGTAACTCGGCGATACTACCATGGTCGGCGTTGCGAAAATCGTAGGAAACGATGGCAGGTGAAATATTAAAATCATGCATCAGCTTAGTACTTAACGTAACCAGTAGCGGCGGGTGGTGACGATCCAGTCTCACCAGAGGAGTGGGCGCCTCGCATAAGAAAGGAGCCATGTCCTGGGCGCTTACAAAACAAAGATCCAAACTGGTTGTTCTGGTTAATAACATGGTTGATTTGAGAAAGAGTGGCTGAACTGTAATTGTCCAGAAGGAGCGAAGCGTAGGAATGGATGACAGAGTGATCCATGTCAGGATAGAGGAAGCCGTTGCGAGTTTTTTTTTTTCATGAAATCCCCGGGAGATTGAAGTCACCAAACACAATAACTTCATCGGTTGCTTTGGCGGTATCCAGAACAGAGAAAACCGATTGGCAATGGGTTTCGATGAGGTCACGCTCCCGTATACGGTCGGGAGGTGCCGAAATTCAATCGTGTTAATCAGCTTGTTGAAGTACACACAGTACGTGACTGGATCATGATTGACCATACTTGCTCTTTGTAGTGCAGTCAATTCCTGGATAGGATCTGTTAAGTCATTTCCATTGTGTCCTTTTGACAATCGATGTAGGAGATTCAACAAATGGGGCCACTTCACTGAGTGTGAGGAACATTGTAGGCTTTCCCAATTGTCGCATCATGGTGAACCAATTTCTCTTCCTTTGTTGCCAATACTGTATTGAATTCGGTATTGATTTGAGGAAGGATAAATTTCGCACTGCACTGCTCCATGAATAAGGCGGTCCTTAAGGTTGACACGTGTAATGTTTGCGGTCCCCGTGCACTTAAAAGTGCAATGCAAGCCTTCGGAAACTCTAGCACGAAGAACTTTCATTGTCATATACAACAAATGTTGTGGTTTGGCCACACGCCTGTCTTGACAACGAGTTTCACTGGATGCCATCATAAAATATGTTAAAGAGCCTGAATTTATAAAGAGACGAAATCTTATCCATTTGACAGGTCTTCTGCTCGATTGAAATGACTTTTCCTATGACTTGGACAGATAATCGATTGGTCCAATTTTGACATGTCTCTTTATAATTCAGACTCTTTAAATTATGTCACCCGAACCCCTGGCTTGAATTTCCGCAGATGGCCGAAACATATTGCAGGAAAAGCTATCTCTTCGCCGTGCTCGTTATATATTAATGACAGAGGAACCCTGTTTTGCGCGGGAGCGATCTCCAGGCATATGTTCTCATTCCAAATGAGCGTTTCCTGTTACCCAAGCAGCAATTCTGTCTCATTATCCACGAAAATGGTCTCCAGCTCAATTTGAGGATCCACTGCAGGGGTTTCAAGACTATCTATGGCGATCTGATCAAATGTTTAACGGATTTCTTTTTATTTTTTGAATGGTGAAGGGCAAAAGCCCCCGGGAGTGAAAAATTCGTGGTATTTCGTCTCCCGTAGGCAAAAAACCTTCACGTCTTTTCAGATTGTCTTCAAGGAACTTCCAAGAAATTCATAGAAATAACAATAACTTCATGGAAATTTCTACGAATTTCAAGGAAATTCCAACGAATTCAACACTGAGGCAAATAGACGTAACAATTCCATAAGATCCACTTATGAATTTTAGCCACAAGAAATCAGTATGAATTTCACTGATTTACCTTATGAAAAATAATGTAATGAATAATAATGTAAAACGCCACAGACTAGAACCAAACCATGGGCGTTAAAATTACGAGCCCTGTGTGTTGACCACTTGTCTTTCAAAGCTTGGGAAAATAAGATTGTTAAAGGCGTATAAGAGCTACCTCATGTTAGACGAACATCATTCATAAGTCACGCTTATGAAATTCAGATCTGTCGTTCATAAGTCGAACCTTATGAAATTCTTAAATTTATGAATTTTTCCATTTCCACGAAATTCCACCGAGTTTAATGAAATTCCAACAATTTCAAGGAAATTACATCCATCTCATGTAAATTCATAGGACTTTCAAAATAATTCTCCCGAATTTCAAATAAATTCCACAAAATTTATGCAAATTCCAACGAATTTCAAAAAATTCTATCGAATTTAAAGAATTCCATTGAATTTTAAGGAAATTGCTAGGAATTTCAACGAAATTCTGAAAATTTCAGGAAATTCCGAAGAATTTCAGGAAAGTTCGAAGAATTTTAACGAAATATCTATGAATTCTAAGGAAAATCCTAGGAATTTAGAAGAATTTCCAATTAATTCAATAAAATTCTATTATATTCAACCAAATTCCAACAATCAAGGAAATTCCAACAATTTCAAGGAAATTTCAGGATTTCAAGAAAATTTCTACAAATTTCTAGAAAACTCCACCGAATTTCAAGGAAATTCCACAAAATTTATAGAAAGTTCTTCAGAATTTCCAGGAAATTTAATCGGATTTTATGAAAATTCTATCCAACTTCAATGAATTTCCTACGAATTCCAAGGAAATTCATAAAATTTCAAGGAGATTGCAACGACTTAAAAGGACATTTCTACGAATTTTTAGGAAACTCAAAAATTTTTTAACAAATTTCGAGGAAATTCTTGTTATTTCCCGTAATTTCTTGCGAATTTCAAGGGCATTCCTACGAATTACAAGGAAATTCCAACGAATTTCAAAAAAATTCTACGAATTTCAAGTAAATTCCTACGATTTTCATGGAAATTTCGATGAATTTTAAAAAATTTCGAACGAATTTCATGGAAATTTTACGAATTATAAGGAAATTCCACCGAATTTCAAGAAACTCCAACAATTTCAAGGAAATTCCAACAATTTCAACTGAATTCCTAGATTTTTAAGAAATTCGTAGAAGAATAACATGACATTAACGTAGAAGAACATGACATGCGTAGAAGAAGAACATGACAGAACGTTCATGAATGGAATGTTTTTTTTTTAAAGAAAAATAAAGGTTCAACTTTTAGTTTTCTTTAAACAATGATAAAAAAAAAAACATTCTTGCTCGTGAGATTGTATCTATAAAAAACTAATTCAAGTAGCAGCTGTCATCCACAACTGAAATTTTATTTACCTGCTAATCTATCTGATTTCATCGTACTTCTAAAGCAAAACGTTTTGGCTGTATCCTATAGGAACATATTTTTTACTTTTAGGACTCCAATTAAACTATGGATAGAAGTAAATAAATGACCTAGTTATGATTTTATTTAATGAGAATCTTGTCGATCTTGCGTGAAGAAATTAAAGAAAAATTAAAAAAAAAATTAAATAGCATTGATTTTCCACCAGAAAAGCTAAGAACCCCAACTCACTCATCTGATCATATCTCAAAAACTATTTGTTCCAATAATTTGCCCTTGGAAACACATTCAATAGAAGAGTTTTCCAAAGTGTGGTGAAAATTTGAGCCCAAAATATTAGGAAATAAAAAATCCCGCCCATGGTGAAAACAGGAAATTTTTGACAATTTGGTTATCTGCCGGTAATCAGCCTGTTTACTGTAGGTACTATAACAAAATCGAAATGAATCTACATAAAAAAAAAACCTTCAAATTGACGTTCTAAGACCACGAATAGCTTATTTGGTTGTGGAGTAATCTCTTTTGAAACTTGAAATTTTAAAAATCTCGAAAATCCAGGGTTGTAGCCCAGAAAGATCTAGGCACTTTAGAGCAAAATCAAAATAAAGGCATTTGTTCAGAATGCTTTGGCAGAGTTTGGCTCAAATCGCTGACATCGACCACAACTTTTCAAACCCACTGTAGCTGGAATGGCCCATATATAACCTTCAACTAAGCATACTTTAATTCAAATCTCTCCCCTTACCTTAATTACCAGCCACATTTGTCACGAAAATGAACCGCAGCTGGCACGCACGCTTTAGTTCCAGCACTTTTTGTGTCATGGCGATGTGTCTAAGCTCTGATATTGAACGGCTTTTCCACGCATGGTTCCTTTTTACCTCTATAATGATGCGAAAAATAAATGTTTCATTCTGTCGAAGAGATTTCAGTTTCTAAAAGATAACGCACGAAATCATACAGATTTATGACATGCTCCATTTTCACGTCCATGGCTGCTTGCAATCGAAAACGAATGAAATTTCAAATCCTACTATCAATTCAAGCTGATATTTGTACACACTTTAAAACGAAAATAGTTGAACATATACCCATTTTACCCATTGAGAATTGCATATTTGTGAAATCGGTGACAGTTATTCTGAATCGCCCAGTACTTTTGGTTAAATTCGCGACAATCGTTTCCTTCGGTGTCTATGGTCCATACAAATTTCCAAAAATGTATATGGGCGATTGTCGACGCGGGGGAGGTGAATCTAAAACCGCTAAAAAACGGTCTACGTAGTTTATAAACGGCCCCTTATAAATATTGTTTATTTTTTCTCTAGGAATATTTAAATTTTAATTTTAAATATTTTAAATAGCCTGATAGAAGCTTCAGCTCCATGATGTGCTTTCAATTGTCAAAATTCATAAGCCCTAAATAAAACCGCTTGATGCACATTTTGCTTCATTTATAATTTGTTAATCTTCTGTCCAAACTTTACATCGCTTCGGACGGGAAAATGTTGGCGCAACCTTCCCAAAAATTAAACCAACCGGTTTATTTTCCACGGCAGATCCCCACTCCTTCCATCTAGTAAAATATTCACTAACCGTTTGCAAAATTTACTTTCAACCGTTCCACCACTGCTTTGCATGGAGCTACCGACGAATCCCTTCGATAAAGTATTCAACAGGAAGCAGCCAGTGACACAACAGCACCAGCTGACTGGCATCTCAGTCTTTTCTTAGAAACCCTCAACTCACCCCCCCCCCTCACCACCTAATCGCACAGTTGTGTGGAACTCTTTGGCAAGATAATTATTCCAGTCAGGACTTACCGTTGTAGAGCATGGTCGAGGAAGCATCCCGAGTGGCCGCCTCCGGTGAGTGCGGTGGTGGACTGGGTGCCGTGGCACCAGCCGTGGGCGACGAGGGACCCCAACAGGTGGCAGCAGCCGTCGTAGCACTGGTTCCGTTCGATGAAGTCGACGACGGCGAAGAGGTCGGACCGGACGAACTTTTGGAAGCGGCAGCCGCCGGTGAATCCCCAACGACGTCTATTTCCTCGTCCTCCTCCAGGACTTCGACCACCACCGGTGGAGGTGGTGGTGGCGAAGGCGAGGCGGATGATGCTGCTGGGCTTGTTGCTGTGGTTGTTGCTTCTGGAGTTTCCTCGACCCGATCGGGCCACGGATAGGCCTTCCATTTCTTCGCCATCAAACAACGAGGCATTGTCACTGGATTGGGGCGGTCGACACGACGAAAAGGGTAGTATAATCAGGTACTTGTTTGTTTCGTTTGCTTGAAGCAGGGAGGGTCGCGAAAAGTCAATTCATGTTTTCCCTGGGCCCGCAGGGTTTATTCTGGTGGCGAAGACCCGGGGTCAGAACCGGGAGTAACTTTTTTTTTTGTTTGGGACTTGGATACAGAACAATGTCAGAGGAAATGTTGCAGCGCGAAGCGCAGGCAGCCGGTCTCGAGGAAAATCGATAGTTTTTCTCGCTTTTGGGGCTTTTCTGGTTTTTCGCGTGCGAGAGATACACACTCAGAGCGGTCGGAGATACGTCTGCGGGTGTGCAGGGCTGACAGGGTCGGGTCGGGGCTTCTTGTGGGATGGAATAAATTTTATTTTCGGACGTGACACAGATACCAAAAACTTTATTCCGTTTTCTTCGTTCTGGGGCTGTTCCCGGCGTCCCCAGCATAGATCTCCCAGCGGATGCCTCGGAGCGGATGAAGTTCTGCAGACAACAACAGTTCAAGCACTCACAGATATAGTTTTACGAGTCTGTTTTGTTAGATTCCAACCGAAACCGAAATCAGAACCGGAAAGCTCACTTTGATGCAGACACACATACGCACACGGACACGTACACAGACGAAACGGTTTAACGGAAAATCCAGAGTTCACAGTTTCGCGGCAGAGATTCACATTCGGAGAGTTACGTATCCAAGAGTTTCAGTAGTAGCACACAGTAGTGTTTAGTAGTAGAGTAGAACTGTAGCAAAATCTTCATCTCGTGGCCCTGAACATAGCAAATGAAACCGAAAAGACACACCGGAAGTGTACTTGAGATTTACTGACGACACACTGGCATAACCGAAAAACACCGGAAGTAACGGACCACGAGATTCATTCAGTCCATTTAGTAGGTAGCGGAAGGGAGGCGCCCTAGCCACAGAGTGACCGAGGCCTGAACTTTGGACGAACCAAACCGCAACGGATCCGTCGAACCGGACCGGAAACTGCCTTGATGCACATCGAATTAACCGAAAAATGTGTGACTGCTTTTCCGCAGCTCCTGTTTCCTGCGTGTGTGTGATCGTTTAATCCAACTAAAACTTCACCTGCTCTCACTTTTGCACAGTTGCCTTCTGCTACTCTAGATCCACAATTGCACTCTGAATCCCCGTTCGACTTATTGCTGGGATTCGATTAATTTCCTTTGATTCGGTAGAGGAGCGCGCGCGGAGATACGACAGAATAGCGAAAATCAACAAATGTTACGACTATTGCGTTAGATCGACGTAGTTTTACGTGCTGGTAGTTGTAGTAGTGGTAGTAGCAATAGTAGCAATAGAATAGTACACACACGAGACTGGTAGTAGACTGCTTAGCGGTGATTAGTAACGGTACACATACAGGTAGATTACACAGGGAACGGCACGCAGAATCGATTCATAAAGTTCATAATAAATAACAGAAAAATTGATACAGAGTGAAACACGACAGAGAGAAAAAATGTGTGACGAACCGCACCGTAAGAACCGTGAAAGGCTTTTGAATCCTGTCGTGTTCGGCGCAGTCCCTTTATAAAGTTCGGCCCACCCGAACGGGTCCGAACTTCCCCACTTGCTCACAGCGAACGAAACCTGACGGATCCTTTTCTGAGCTAAAGTTTCCCCTACCCACGTAGGGCGAAAGCGGAAGCACCCCCCGAAGGGTAGTCCTGCACAACAACGTGTTGATGCGAGCAGGGGAAGCCAAGCAACAAACAACCCTCTCCTTCCGAACACGCAACAATTACGCTCGGCACCGTTCGGGATCCTGACGGCTCTCCCTCTCTCTTTTGCTCTCTCACCAAAATCCCACTCTCTCACTTCGAGTTAACAAAAGGATCCTCCGTCCCGTCCGTGCACATTATGTTGAATGTGGTTTATGCTTTATGCTTCAGTGATTTTTCTCCTCTCCCACATCGTTTCCTTTTATGCTCTCACGACGACGACGACGACGACTGAATCCTGCCTGCTGACGATGATGATGGTAGCGGAACACAGGAAAGAAGGGCACGCGTCACACATTCAGTCATCTGGTGCCGCCTGGTCGTCGGTCTTTGCTCGCTTGCTTCTTGCCTCCCTTATTCGCGCGCTCTGAAATTCTATGCTTGTTGTTTTTTTTTATGTTGAGTGGCTCCAGTTATGTTTTTTTTTTTGTTACTTTTTTCCTTGCTTTCGCACTCTTCATTTCTTACCTACCTACCTAGCTCCGTGCATAATATAGGAAGTGTGGCAAGGAATCGACCGCCACCACTGGTGCTGCCTAGTGCTTACTGCTGCTACTGGGTGATTTTTTTTTTTATTCTTAAGCTCAACAACTGTGACGGATGCGATTTTTTTATGCTGCGTACGTTTGGTTTGTTTGCTGCTACAGGATTTTAAAGTTTGTTTATGGGTCAATGAATTCTTTAATAATGCACCGGTTGATCGATCCAGTAAGTGGGTGCTTATATGGATTTGATTCCAGTTTCTTAGATATGAGTAGCTTGTTAAAAAATCCTGCTTGGGTTAGGTTAACTGACAAAATGTGTCAGAAAAATACAAAAGACAAGGAAGGAGGCTGTGCCCGTGAACAAATGTCACGTTTGTTTTACCCGCTGTAATCTCAAGTTTTTCTTTTGTCACCCCCCCCCCCTCCCCCTGTCAAAATTTTGGAATATCACAAAGGGGAAATTTTTTACATAAATTGGTACTAGACCAGTATGGCATGCCAGGTCGTTGAAACTGGTTTCAGTTGTTGAAAACGGATTTTATCGAACATCTTTCCTAATCTTGTTTGGTAACTCACTAGGTAAGTCACCTTCAATCTGATTGATCCCCCTTGTTCGCTGCGCACATCTTTGTCTTGTTCCAGTCGGGTCGTTACCAAGAACCATTTTTATTAGATCGTTTTCCGACATTGTTACGATGTACCCAGCCCACCAAAGTCACCCAATTTTCGCATTCGATCTAAATTTCGTAACCTACAAACGTGCTGCAATGCTACTTAATGATTCAATTCTTTTCTACAGTGGTTCAACAATTACAGAGCTAATTCCAATCTTTTCAAAATTGGTTAAAATTTTTTAGAAGTGAGACAAAATCAGAAACGAATCAGAAAATTCCTAACTAAGGTGACACATTTCAAAGCAGATTCAAAACTGAGCCTGAACTTTTTTGAAGTGAGTTCATACTTTCGAATAAGTCATCAACATTTTTCTAACTGAGTCTAAAGTTTTCTGCTATGTTATTCAATCCTTTTTAAAGTTGTCAAAGCTTTCTTGAAGTGATTCAACATATCCTGAATCCAAGCTTTAAATAATTGGTTTCGCATTTTCTGAAGTGAACTGAACTGAAACCAAACTTGTCAGAGCGGATTTGACATTTTCCTAAGTGAACTCCAGATTTTTCTTAACTGCTTTGGCATTTGGCAAGGACACAATCTTGCTTAGGTCATCTAGCTTTCCTAAAAGTGAAGAAAGATTTTCGAAGTGAACCGACACTTTTTTAGTTAAAATTTTCCAAATGGAATCCAACCTTTTCTGAAATGGTTCAATACCTTCTTTAGGGAGTCCCAACTTTTCTGTTGAGTGATTGAATTATATTTTATGTTAGTCTGAACTTTCCTGAAGTGATTTAACTAACTAACGTTAAAACGTAGATTCCGCTCCTTTAGGCCCCTTCCTCGTTCTTGTTAGATTCACATCGTTTGAAAATCAGGCTGAGATTTTAAAGAATGGACCTTCGTGTGTTCATACCTGATGGTAGATTTTTTAAACAAGCACAAATGTTGAGAAAACTGGGTTTACATCCACAAGAGTACGTATTTTTATAGAAATTTGGGTTTCTTGATCAGCCAAGTTGGATTTTGGCTCCGTTCTTTAAAAAACAGGCTTGGATGTTATAGAATAGACCATTGTGAGTTCATACGTGATGGTAGATTTGTTTGAAGCCAGGATGGATTTTGGTTCAATTGTTTGAAATTTGTGCTTGGATTTTATAGAATGGAACTTGCGGAATACCGGAAGAACGAACCTGGTTAATATTCATCAAGAAGTTATTTTCATAGAAAATTGATTTTTCTGTTTTGACGAACTGAATTTTGGCTCCTATCTTTGAAAAATAGACTTGTATTTTATAGAATAGAAGTTGCTAAAACCATATGTGAGGGTTAAATTTCTTCAATTTTTGAATAAACCGAGTTTAAATTACTACGCACTATGTTTTTCTGTTCTGCCAAGTTGAATTTCGGCTCCGATCTTTGAAAATAGACTTGGATTTTATAGAAAATACCTTGCTGAATCCGACTTGATGGTACATTTTTTGAAGCATGCTCAATTTTTTAGCAAACTGGGGTTGAATTCTCAAAAGTACGCATTTTTATAGAAATTTGTGTTTCTTGTTCAGCCAAGTTGAATTTCAGCTCCTTCCTTTGAAAAAGAGATGTGAATTGCTGAATCCATACGTATTTTCAAAGAAATTTGGTTTTTAGGTTCTGCCAAATTGCATTTCGGCTCATATCTTTGAAAAATAGGCTTGTATTTTACTTATTTATTTTTTTGAAAATTTATTTATTTGTCAACCGAATAAACTTTACAGAGCCAAATTATCTTTTTCGTTTACATTATAAATATATTAAATCTAAAGTTAAAATCTAGAGTTAAGGAATTGAACCGATTACTCGCGGTCGTCTAGAAATTAGTGGAGATTTACAGTTTCATAGATGGGAAGAGGGAGAAGGAGGTTTGAAATAAGATTTACGATACAAATATTTCATTATTCCTAAAACATAAACTTATTCCTATTCAACTTGATAACAGCAGTGTAATTCTTCTATTATTACAAAACAAACATTAAAAAACACACACACACACACAAAATACAAACTAAACACAAGTTTAATCAAACTTACAATCTAAGGTTTATATTCTTCAAGAAAACATATTTGAGTTTCATAAACTCCAGATCGCGTTTACCCAAAATTTCCCTAACTGGAACATTAGGTTGTCTACCTCGAGCCCGAAGGGAATCATACAACTCGGATCTGACTCCGCGATGACTCGGATCTGACTCCGCGATGCTCAGCACAAGACCAAATAATGTGATCTGCGTCCTGGTAACCTTGTCCACATTCACAGAGATTGCTGTCCCCCAGCCCAACACGGAACAAGTGAGCGTTTAACGAGTAGTGATTGGACATGAGGCGAGACATTATACGAATGAAGTCTCGACCCATATCCAACCCCTTGAACCAAGGAATCTTCGACACATCGAATATAGCCATCGTCCCAAACTTCCTTCGCTCCATTTATTCTGCCAGCTGACAAGTGACTGTTGACGATAAATGAAGAAAAATTCATCGTAGGCGATTTGTCTATCGTAAATATCGCCTTCCATAGCGCCCACTTTTGCGAGCGAGTCCGCCTTCTCATTGCCCGGAATCGAGCAATGAGATGGGACCCATGCAATGGTGATTACAAAAGATCTTAAAGATAAAGTTCTTAGAAGCTCTCGTATTTTCATGAGAAAATGCGAGGAGTGCTTTACCGGCCTCATGGAGCGAACAGCCACGACAGAACTGAGACTATCCGCAAAAATAAAATAATGAGCTGGTGCAAGTGAGGTTATCGTTTCTAGCGTATAATGTATTGCCGCCAGTTCAGCAACATATACGGAACAAAGAGCATGAAGCATTCGAGAGGCGCTATGAAATTCGTAATAAATACCAAATCCAGCGGACGCCTCTATTAGTGAACCATCTGTGAAGAACAATCTTGCGGAATCAACTTGGTCAAACTTTGCAGTGTATAATGACGGAGCAATCATGGAACGATGATGCTCTGGGATTTCGCGAATCTCTTGCGTCATAGATAAATCAAAATTAACTGAATTGCCAAAGTCGGAGAAGCATACACGATGTTATTATGATATTTTGTACTTGAAAGTTAAAAGCAGAGGTTGCAAAGCATGTGTTGGACACATGAAACCTGTTAATTTCGCTTTCAGAGTGTCACAATAAGCGATTTTATGATTCGTGAGCGTTCACTCAGAGTGAGCGCTCGCGAGTCGTAAAATCGCTGATTGTGACAAGGTGCTAGAAGAAGTCAACACTCAAGTTTTTCAACTCGAGGTTGACCACTCCATCGACACCAGCGGCCTTCATGTTCTTGGTTGATTTAATCGCTGCTATCACCTCATCAGCCGATATTCTACTTTCAGCCGGGACAACTAAGGGGGTGGCAGCGACTCTAGACGTTGCCTTCAATACTGCAGGCTCGTAGGGACCCACCATGACTTGTCCAAGGTTATGTGAATTCACAAAGCGTTGACCAAGAGCATTGGCTTTTTCCACTGGGGTTATGAGTAAGGATGGATTCGAATTATGATTAGGAGAGGAAAGTGGAGGGATGGACCTCGGCTTATTTTTTTTAAATCTTTGCCAGTTTCCAGAATGGCTTAGCACAATCTGGGAGAGAGCGAATCTTGTTTGCAAAATCGATATTTCTG